CACCCCGCAGACACCGGTTCTCTAGCTAGCACCTTCTCCGTTTCTGCCATCTCTTTTCCCTCCTGCCAGACCTTCCTCTAACTCCACATCTCCCCATCTCTCCATCTCTCTCCCTTTTCTCCTTGCAGCCTTCCTACGGTCCTCTCACCCCGACCTGAGACCTCTCCTGTCCTTGGCTCCTCTTCATCTTTGCTTCTCTTACTCCTCAGACAGCAGTCCTACTTGGTCCTGGGGACTTACTTGTGTTCCTCTCAGAGTCTTACTTTCTCCCGGCTCATCCCGGGGTTATCTGACCTTGGGGCAAGGAAGGATGGTTCCCGGGGTGAGAATCCTCTCCTCTTTGCTGGGACTCGTGATGTTCTGGTTCCCCTTGGACTCGCAAGCCCGAGCCCGTAAGTAGAAACCAGGCAGAGTCTGGGAAGGCAGGGGAGGGATGGGGACCACTGGGATGTCCCTGGAAGGTGTTAGGACCTGGGGACTGGTAACTTGTGAATTCATCCAGGCAGCACCTGTATGGCAGGAGTGCTCCACGACTAGTGTGAGCTAGTGAGTCTTGGGGAAGACAAGGGCGTGGCAAGATCCACACAGGGGGGCTGCTGCCCTGGGGCAGGTCACTGTGCATTTCGAAAAGGGACAGCGTTCCCATCAGCCCTGTGTGTCACGAAGACAGAAAGGCGGTTGTGTAGTGGGGAAGAGCTCTTGGGCAGAAACATCTTTAAACAAAAATGAACAAAGTGGGGTGGCTTTTCTAGTCCTTTATTTTTTTGATGTTCACAATACTGCAGGGGAAGTGTCATCATTCACATTTAAGAGATGAGTAAACTTAGGGCAAAGGGAAGAAAGTTGCCCGAAGCTCGTGAACCATCCAAAGTCAGGACTCCAATTCCAAGTCCTGCCTCACAGTGTCTGGAAGGCACCCTGATGTGGGGCTGTGGGACTCTGGAAGGCAGCAGGGCATGGTGAACCAGATGGGGGTTTTCATCTTCCTGGACCCACTGAATACCATCCAGTGGAGTCAGACACGGAAGGCACCTCACAGTCTCTCTTCTAATCTATAAAATGTGAGACTCCTAAAACCGTTATGAGTATTAAATGACAGGGAGCAGGCGGGGTGACTTGCATAGGGATGTTGAGACGTAGTTTCCCCAAAGTGTATCAGCAGCCTAACCCTGGAGTTTCTCCTGCAAAAACAATGTAACCTCAAGCAGGTTATGTAGGCCCACAGCCCCAGTTTCCCTACTGCCCCCCTTAAGCTGGCAGCCCCTTCTGAACTCCCTTGATAAAGAAACAGGCCAATGAGGGGAGTGGTTTGCTCCAGGCCTCAGGAGCAGAACCTTGCTTGCACACACACACACACACACACACACACACACACACACACACCATTGCCCATCTCCTAGCTGAGAGCCTTCCACCTCCACAGCTCAGCTCTGCCGGTCAACTCTGCTTCCATCTCCTTGTGGCTTTGTAGAGCTGGTGAGGCTGGATTCAGTCTTTTTGCTTCTGGTGAGGGGAAGTTTGCATGTCTGTCTGATGTTCCCTAGCCTGCCAGTGGCTCAAGATCCATAGATGTCCTCATGAACAGAAACAGAGAGCGTTGAGGGTTGGGTTCAAGACTTGACTCTGCCTCTTACACCTGTGTCACTCTTCAAACTTCTGGGAGCCTCGGTTTCTTCCTCTGCAAAGGAGAGCTTCTAACCAGGGCCGGAAGAGTTTGGGGAAGGATGAATGGGAGCAACACTTTCAAATGCCTAGCAGAATGCCAAGTACTCAGTAAATGTCCCTCCTCCCTCCTCCAACCTCCAGGCTTTCCTCCTAGCCTGCCTGCTTGTCCAAGGAGAGACTCTTAGTCTCAGAGGATCTCAGACTTAGTCTCCTGGCCTTGGCCTTGGCCCTGAAGCTCCCTTCTCAAAATCATTGCCCTAGAAGATCCACTCTGATGGCTCAGAGGCTACTCAAAGCCCCTTTTACCTGCCATAACTACCAGCCCTTCAGAACATCAAGGTCACCTCTGCCTGGTGACCGGCTCCCTTTATGGCCTCCTCCCATGCCTGCACTGGCCTTCTAGTCCATATCTGTCACCAGGTTCTGCAGTATGCTATCTCCCCCATAGCCTTGTGAATACAGAGCTCCAGACACTCAAGAAAATAACTATCACTAAGGTTGAGGTGACCTGGCATTTAGGGAGGAGGATTAAGATCCTGGTATTGTCAAGGCTGGAAAGAGCTTTCTCTTCTGTGTCTAGCCATCAAATTACCTGTTTTTAGAGTTAAGCTGACTACTACAGAGCCACAAAGAAAGGAACGGAGACCTGGATCCTAACTCCAGATCTGTCATTTATTGGTCATGTGAGTTAGGACACTTTACCTGTCCCTGAGCCTAATGTTTATTGTGCCGTTGCTCTGTGAATTTTGTCATTACACTGCAAGTCTTCAGCCAGTATCCTATTTTAAGGTCTCATGTGAAAAGTCTTGTCTTAGTTAAGAGACATCTCAAGCATGTGGTGTGTATGACATCTGGTGATGTCTAAAGTGCTTTTACAAATGATGCTGACAAATGGGTGTTCTCAGGTGTGTGTGGGATAGACTTCCAAGGTGGCTACCGGGGTCTGCAATCAGGGGTTTTGGCACACTCCTTAGTTGAAGTCCAAGGACTCAGCAAAGATTATTTATTCTCTATTTGGCTCTACTTCCACCCACAGATCCATACTGAATCTCAATTAGGCCGTTAGCTGAGCCCTAACGGTCCAACCCTTATTACTGAACCACAATTCCATCTGAGGCTGGAGTCATCACACAGGCTGGAGGCTCTAGCCTGGTTCTGACTGGTGCTGACCCCAGTCCCAGTGGAGTCACATGTGTCACTCACCCCCTCTGTGACCCAGAAGTGGCTCCATTCTTTTACTCATCTCCAGTGCCTTCTCTTGTACTTGCTTCTCTCTGCACTGTGTCCTTAGAAATTAACTTGCTCCAGGTTTCTCTCCCATTTTAACCTTCAGGAGAGAGTTGATTACCAAATAAGACACCAGCCCTCAGGGGATTATATCTTATGGGAATTGGAGCTTTAGTTCCCAGGTGATGGACTCTCAGACCCCAGAAGCAGGCCTGGACAAAAGGGTAGTTCCTTAGATGTGATGTGGATCCACAGGCAAACTCACCTGCAGAATGTCAGGGTCAAAGCACTTGCTTTTCCCCTGATGCCAAATGTGATCTCAGGCACTGTGTCCTTCCCTGCCTGCCTCTGCTACCTGTGAGGTAAGATGCTTGCCCTTAAATGCGTGATGTTTGAGGACCATGGAAGCATTAGCTGCCTTTCTCTAAGGAGTCCTCATTTGCATCCTGAGTCCATTTGACTTTGCTAGTGGGAGTTGGGAGAGTGTAAGTATTCTGTCCTGTGGGGAGGGACAGATGAACAGCCTAGCAGGGGGGGCGGGGTAGGGAAATGTGTATTTCGGATACTTACAATATGTAATCTTGCCCTGCTGTCAGGGTTGGTCACATCTCTATCCATCTGTCCAGATGTACACGACTGGGTGGGGAGCAGGTAAGGGAAGGCCTCAAGTTCAGCCTTGAGCAGGCCCTGTGTCTAACCAAGAGGTTCTGCACCTCCCTGCTCCCACCAGTAGAGGTCTCTGTCTCACTCACTGGCACCAGGCAGCAAGCCCTGAGACAGCTGCGCAGTTATTCCAGCTGTTGCACCTGTTCCAGGGCTGGCCTCTCAAGTTCCCTCAGCCGCAGGCCATGGCGCCGGCTCAGAGAAAAGGACCTTGAATATCTGGAACTCCCAAAGAAGAGAACTGGTGTGAGAGTGATATCCCTGGGAGGTGCAGCACAACGATCAGGCATCATTCTGGGCAGGACCCAAGCCTGTTGCCTGTTGTATGCTTCACTGTGTATCAACTGAGTCCTTTGCTTGCAAGTTGAAGCCATTTCTTCTGGTCCTGTCACTTGGACGGGCATCTCTATAAGTATCCTCCCCAGAGCTAAAGAATGACTGTGGAGTCTGTTCTGGGACACATCTAGGATCTCTGGCAAGTCCTGATCCCTCCCTCACTGGGGGGGGGGGGGGGGGAGCACTATCTCTAGAATAAGGGGATTAGACATAGTCTGAGTCCCTAGCTTTCTAGGAGTCTATGAATCTAAGTGTATATACTCGTGCTAACTAGAATGTGAGCAACTCTCTTTGATAGGCAATAGAGATGCCTTTCCTGGCTCAGTGATTCTGTCCTTGGAAGTCCTTCTATGTCTAAACGTCTGCTGTGTCCAGACAAAAAGAGTTGTATTCAAAGAAGTATCCCTTTTGCTAGCATGTGCAGGTTGGCCACTGAAGCACTTCTTGTAATTCTGTTAAGAGGCCTCCCTCAAGGAGATCCAAAGCCTGGGCAAGGCTTATGTCTTAGAGAGGAGTGAGTCTATGTGAATAAAATATGACTGTATGGATACAAATGGGATCCGAACACTCTCATTCCTGGGCAGTCTGGCTTACTCAGATTTTCTGAGTTCTTGCTCAGATTTTCTGAGTCCAGCCCTCTCTCTCCTCTCCCTGCACCTCCTGGTGTGTTTCCATGGCCTCCTCCAGCCTCCCTAGAAGCTGCTTTCTTTTCTGATTGCTACTGGAGGAGTCCTTAGGCATGCTACCCACCATAGACTTGCCCCCCGTGGGACCTTTATCATTGCATGAATGTTTGAGTCAGACTGTGGATGCACTGGGAGGGGGACCTTTGAGGAATGTTGACTTGCTCATAAAGATCAGGGAGTCATCTGTGCCCTCAGCGGCCCCAAGCTCCTGACCTTTGTGTACACTGTGTTCTTTGGTTTGGCAGGTGGTTTTGGGAGACAGTGGCCAAGAGCTGGAAGAGGAGGTGAAAGGTTAATTCATGAGATGTGGCACAGTATACCTGTTGAAAAGGCCTTGTTCTCCTTCCATGTGATAATGTTGTTTGGTTGTTGTTAAGGAGAGAAGTTTCTTGGATTAAAGACCATAATTGGTGCTTCCACTATAGCGACACCCCCCGCCCCTTCTGTTAACTTTATCCACCCATGCATTCATTCATCCAGCAAGCACTAACTCTACACAGGCTCTGCACCAGGCAGAGGGTCAACATCCGTTCCTTCCTCTCACACCGTCTGGTATAGAAGACAAACCCACTGAACAAGTGCTTCCAGTTCATGGTGATAAGAATTTGGACCACATTGTAACCAAGCTTAACTCTGTCCTGAAGGCGAACCAGGGTCCTGTGGGATTGGGGTGGCCTTGTGGGAGCAGTGGAAGGGAGGCTGGTCAAACACTGGCGGTGTGTTCCAGGTGGAGGAGGTGGGAGGACCTTGAAGTGATGAGTGAGAGACTCAGTAAGAGGGGGTGAGACTGAAAACAGGATCACCACAAACAGTAG